TCATCATCATCATCATCATCATCATCATCATCATCATCATCATCATCATCATCATCATCATCATCATCATCATCACCATCATCATCATCATCACCATCATCATCATCATCATCATCATCGTCATCATCATCATCATCGTCATCATCAATGATATATTAATATATAACATTGTTCTTAAATGAGAGACGATGATTGCTAATTTTTATGACATTTTGTTACACAACTTATTTACCATAGTGCACACAATCAATCTAAAGACTTTATAAAAATAAAAAAATTTTTAAAGGAAGGAAGGACGGGTAAAAAACTCTTTTAATATCTACAAAAACTAAATAATACAATCAATTAATTTATATTGTTTTTGTTACCAAATTATTTCTTGCTATTTATATTTTTTATTCCACACACATAAAGTAATTCAATTTATTTAATTTATTAAATCTAAAAATTTCCTGCATATATCAGGTATGAGTGAATTAGTAAACAAGCGAGCAAATGAATGAGCAAGTGGATTAACTAATCAATCATTAAATGGATCGATTAATCAGGCAGATAAATAAATAAATGATTAATTAATTGATCAGGAAATTCTTGAAGAACTTTATTCTAAATTTTTTATGACACGTTTTGGTTTATTAGAACAATAATTTATTTTTTATAATTAATAAATTCAAGATTTAATCTTATTTACCAAAATTACTTCCAACATTGATAATCTATAAAATCTATAAAACATTATCTCAAAAAAAATTGTTTTTTCCTTTTTTATTTAATTTCCAGCAATTTTTCTAATAATAAAAGTTTCTCTTTTTTTTCTTTATTTAATTTATCCTTTTCTTCAATATTCTGTTTATTATTATCGTTGTTGTTGTTCTTTAATTCATTTTGGTATTCTCTTTCAAGTACATCTTTGGCAATTTGCTAAATATTATATAAATAAAAAAATCAATTAATATTTTGTTTTTATGAAGAAAAAGGTCCCGTTTATTTTCTTATTCGTTCTTCTCATTCTCTCTTCTTACCAAATTAAAATGGATATCATCACTGATTTCATTAAATTTATCCACTAATGAGAAAATGACATCCGTTTCATCTTTAGGTAGATCAAGTCCAGGTTTAAACGGATTATTATTATTCCTATTTAATTAAAATATATTATTATAAATATCAAGTATGATTGATTTAGCAACCCTCTATGACTTTACATTTGACGATTGCGAGGACTTCTAAGTAAGTCATTAGTACGTCCAAAAATTGCCTAATCATTTATAGAAAGAACAATTATTATTATTAATGTTGTCGTTAATGTTAAAATCAATAAATAAATCATTTTACCAACGTTTAATGTAGTTTTAAGTATTTTGATATTATTTTCAAGCTCTGGTATTTTATCGCCATCATCGGAACTCATTTTTCATCAAATAATAAAATTTTTAAAAAAAATTTCACTATTTACACTATTTGCTAAAAATCAGATGATGATGATGTCGATATTTGATTGGGTGATTTATAAAGATAATTTTAACTTTATTATAAGAAATTGAGAAATTTCATTTTCAAAAAAGTATTTTTTCCTACATGGTGAAATAAATTATCAGTAGTAATGACAATCATCTTGAACACTGGGAGAAGCAATAAGATTCATAGATATTGATTGGCATGGATTAATCAAACCAAATTCAGATAAACTACATATATAAATAGCACTTATTATTGTTATTTATGAAAAGCATGATGAAATTGATTGATTATAATAATCATTCAATAAAAAAGCTTTATTGTTTTCCTTTTGATAAATCTCTTGATAAATTCCTCTCATACAGTGTTGACCATATATATATATATATATAAATTATATAATATTTATTTGTTTTTTCGTTGATTATTTGCCAATGACTTTTCTAATTCCATAAAAACTTTCAACCCAACATTCACATTACTGTTATCATCATCATCCTCACCATTTTTTTGAAATATATTTGACGGTAAAGTTTTCCCTTTTTTCTTCAATCTTTCTTTTACTTGGTTAATTTTTTTTTCCCATTCTTCTAAATCTTCGTTATAAATATCTATTACACTTTTTTTCAATATACATATATATTTAATTATTATTATTTTGTTCCAAATAAAAAAATGGCAAATTGTATTATAAAAGGTTTCTCACCAATGTGCACATCCACTATATAAAAAGAAAAGAATAAAAAGAATAAATTAACTTAATTTTTTTCTTTAAAAAAAAAAGAACAATCCTTTTTCATATTCAAACCTCATACAACAATTGTCTGGAAATTCTGGTTTAGGTGGTATTATCTCTCCATCAACTATGATTGATTCTTTGATCATTACTTCCTTTCCTTCTTTTCTACCATCATCACCACCATCTTTTTCTTCTTTCCCATTGTTATTTTCTTGTTCATTGACATGTAAATTCTCTCCAATAGCAAATGTAGCTGCAGGATAATGATTATTATTGTTATAATGATAAAGTTTGTCATTATGATTATAACTTTTGTTATCTTCAATTGTCGTTGTTTGTGTTGATGAAGATGACTTTTTTATGGATAAAAAAATACCTACAATATATATATTTTTTATTTATTTAATTATTTTATTTATTTAATGTTTGTATATATGTAATAATTATAATTTAAACCTGTTGTTTTAATATCAATGTCCAAAATCCTTTATATTTATCTTGAACCTCTTTATTATTAATATTATAAAATCTTTGTTGAATTTGTCGCAATTTATAAAATAAGTTATAATTCATTTTTAAAAGAAAAAAATTATGCTGCGACCAAGGATCTACGTCCAAAGAATTTTTAGTATATACAGTAATAATTTCCATATTTTTCACCTTCGTCAGCTCTTTTAATGCAACAACTTTTGATTTCAATATAAAGCTACAGTAATTAATGAATTTCTAAAATCAGTAAAGTTTTAATTGAAGGAGTATTTACTAGTAAGTAGTTTTGGGTATGATTTGTTTATTTCTCAAAAAAACGTTATGGTTTAAGTACACCGAATTCGAGTCGTTTATATACATGTTTTCTAATTAGCGGCTACTTTATCGGCTTTGGTGATGTTGTCGACTAAATATACTAATTGCACCTCGTCGACTTTGTCTATTCGCCATCTTAGTCATCTATTTTGTTGACGTAAAACAACCAATACAAATTAAATAACGCGTATGTCAAAATACAATGTTAATTGATATTAATATTAATAAATAATATCGTGTAATGAAATGACTCAAAGGAATATTCTTTCCGCGGATTACAGAAATGATAAAAATCGCTTTTAAGGGTTTCTAGAAAGACAAGGAAAAATACAAATAGTTTTTATTTGACAAATTTGTCGCAAAAACGTCAGAGGACCACTTGTCAAAATATGTAAATTGTCACGCATAAAGTGTATACAGTTGAACCTCTTTATAACAAAGTGTAATGCAATTAAATCCGTGTCATGAATTCTTATTACTTTATGTAACATCTGCTGTAACAAGGCCCTTCCTTCTTTCCGTTATAACAAGGTTTGGCTATACTGTAAAAATTAAATAATCCAAATTTTTATATGATTATTACTACGCCTCATTTATGGATGATCGCATGCATAAGCAAAATACCAGTAAAAATTATATTGTAATATTGTAGGTATCATATTATGTTTATGGTATTATCGCCACCGAACTTGTGCATTTATTTTTTATCTTAACTTTAACAAGGAGTTTTTTCCTTTAGAAATTCTAATATTTATTTATTGATTGAATGGATGAATGGAACTCAATAATTACAATCGAATCAACTACCAATACCTATTGCCTTTATTTGTATTCGTTTACTACGAGGAAGGAAAAGCTATTATGTTTCTGTTAAAATTAAAAAAACAAACCAGGAAAGAAATAGACAAGGTATAATGAATGAATATAACGGAAAACCCAACAATTTTAGATGTAAATTTGTAGAAATTATCAATAATGTGAATGAATGAAGTTAATACTCAAAATATATTTAAGTAGGATCAGTAATAAATACATGTTAGATAGTAGGGAGAAGAAATTTTCGTTGTGACTTAAAGAATCAGTGTGAAACTTAGATGACTGACTGCACTTGATAATTAAATCAAAGGTTTTTATCATTATAAAATAATCTTAAAAAAAAAAAAAAAACAATATGATCGATGAAAACAGATCTTGAAAATTTGTAAGTTTATTTATTATTAATAATATTTTATAATAACATTGATATATTATTATTATTCATGATTCAACGATTTTAATGAACTGTCTTGAAACAAAATAAGTTGGATTCCTTCTTTTATATATACATTTATATTCATTATTTATATATTACAAAAGAAAGAATAAATAAAAAGATAGTCTATTTACACACACACACACACACACAAATATAAGGTTGAGGATATACATATAGACACATAAAATCACCATAAAATCAACATAATATATATCAATAGATATTTTTTTTTTATAAAAACCAAAAATACTTAAAATTTATTTTTTGGAAAGTAAACTAGCATACCCTGATTTCTTTGTAACCGGAGTATGATCGTCCTCGACAGATCTATCATATCCTTTAACACGTCGAGGTCCAAATTTAATATTTCTATGAAATTTAAATTGTACCAATAATCCAACAATAAAAAGCCCAACCAATCCACCCATCATCAAATAAACTTTTTGATTTGTGGCATAAGGAGTCTTATCCAAAAATGCTCTAGTTGACAAGAGAAAACCTGTATTGACAAACATGTCAATACCAAGAATCATTGCATAAGCACCAATAAACGATGTACCCAAAGTAATTATAACATCCTCGTATATACATGTCAAAATAAGTCCCAGAGTGGCCAACGTTACAATAAACACAATTCTACCAATATCATGCTTAATCAATCCACCATCAGCTAATGCAAGTATAAAATTGGCCAACGCCCAACCAGAAACTAATCCCAATAACCAAATAGCAACCGTTGCGCACCATATTAATAACATCCCAACTATGAATCCAATAGCTAAGGAAACTAATAAAATTATTAATGAATTCTTCGATGGTTCTGACGTGTAACCTGACTGTGGTTGTGCCTCAATAAGAATAAGATAAGAAATATATGCTAATTAATTAATATTATAAAAAATAAAAAAATAATTAGCATAAATTCTTTCACTAATTACAATTTAAATCATATTTTTATAAAAATATTTAAATAACTTACATCCAATAATAGCTCCCAAAATAAACAAGGTGATGCGATAAAGTTTACGACCAAAAAAACAATAAATAAAGCCTACAATAAACAAAAAAACACCAGCTACTATCGATTGAGCTGTTATCTGTTGTAGTCCGTCTGATGAATTATCAGTTGTTACTGTTGTTTCATCAGTTGTTTGAGATGGTGGTGCTATTGTATCAGTTGGTGTTACGTCTTGTCCGTTAACAAGACCAATGATTACAAACAACAATGAAATCATTATCATCATTATTATATTTGTATATCTCTTTTTCATCATTTTTGTAAAAGAAAAAAACTTTGATTTTAATTATGTGCCAGGTAATGTTTAATAGATGGTTTGAAATTGATTCAAATTCTTATCCAAGCGAAATTAAAAAAAAAGTCGTAAAAAAATTTTTTCATTATGTTGATCGTGTCGATCATTATCTCGTTTCAACAATTGGTTTTGGTTTGGTTTGGTTTGGTTTGGTTTCATAAAACCAGTTTAAACGGTTTGAACGGTTTTTTGAACAACATTACACGACCCCTATTTAATTACCAAAAAGGCAATGAATTTCATTCCTTTTTTGGAAATTCCTAAATAATATAACGAAAAAATCTTTTAAACCATTTACATAAAAAATCAAAAAGAATTGTAAATAATCATTTAATGAAATAATGGATCAAAAATAAAGACTTTAACCAATTGACAATTTGTCTAAATGATCATTTAATAGAATAAAATAACAGATTAAAAAATAAAGCCTTTGTAATTAGGGTTCCTATTCA